GACGATTTTATTGCATATTCTTGCACAAAATACACCTAAAAGTGTAGAAAAAAATCGACAGCCAAATCCGAGTAGAGGAAGACCTCTATTACCACCAAAAAGTCATCCAGGTCCAAAAAAAAATTTCCAAAAAAATTCAATTTTTCTTAGGCAGACGATTTTATTGCATATTCTTGCACAAAATACACCAAAAAGTGTAGAAAAAAATCGACAGCCAAATCCGAGGAGAGGAAGACCTCTATTACCACCAAAAAGTCATCCAGGTCCAAAAAAAAATTTCCAAAAAAATTCAATTTTTCTTAGGCAGACGATTTTATTGCATATTCTTGCACAAAATACACCTAAAAGTGTAGAAAAAAATCGACAGCCAAATCCGAGTAGAGGAAGACCTCTATTACCACCAAAAAGTCATCCAGGTCCAAAAAAAAATTTCCAAAAAAATTCATTTTTTCTTAGGCAGACGATTTTATTGCATATTCTTGCACAAAATACACCTAAAAGTGTAGAAAAAAATCGACAGCCAAATCCGAGTAGAGGAAGACCTCTATTACCACCAAAAAGTCATCCAGGTCCAAAAAAAAATTTCCAAAAAAATTCATTTTTTCTTAGGCAGACGATTTTATTGCATATTCTTGCACAAAATACACCTAAAAGTGTAGAAAAAAATCGACAGCCAAATCCGAGTAGAGGAAGACCTCTATTACCACCAAAAAGTCATCCAGGTCCAAAAAAAAATTTCCAAAAAAATTCAATTTTTCTTAGGCAGACGATTTTATTGCATATTCTTGCACAAAATACACCTAAAAGTGTAGGAAAAAATCGACAGCCAAATCCGAGTAGAGGAAGACCTCTATTACCACCAAAAAGTCATCCAGGTCCAAAAAAAAATTTCCAAAAAAATTCAATTTTTCTTAGGCAGACGATTTTATTGCATATTCTTGCACAAAATACACCTAAAAGTGTAGAAAAAAATCGACAGCCAAATCCGAGTAGAGGAAGACCTCTATTACCACCAAAAAGTCATCCAGGTTCAAAAAAAAATTTCCAAAAAAATTCAATTTTTCTTAGGCAGACGATTTTATTGCATATTCTTGCACAAAATACACCTAAAAGTGTAGAAAAAAATCGACAGCCAAATCCGAGTAGAGGAAAACCTCTATTACCACCAAAAAATCATCCAGGTCCAAAAAAAAATTTCCAAAAAAATTCAATTTTTCTTAGGCAGACGATTTTATTGCATATTCTTGCACAAAATACACCTAAAAGTGTAGAAAAAAATCGACAGCCAAATCCGAGTAGAGGAAGACCTCTATTACCACCAAAAAGTCATCCAGGTCCAAAAAAAAATTTCCAAAAAAATTCAATTTTTCTTAGGCAGACGATTTTATTGCATATTCTTGCACAAAATACACCTAAAAGTGTAGGAAAAAATCGACAGCCAAATCCGAGTAGATGAAGACCTCTATTACCACCAAAAAGTCATCCAGGTCCAAAAAAAAATTTCCAAAAAAATTCAATTTTTCTTAGGCAGACGATTTTATTGCATATTCTTGCACAAAATACACCTAAAAGTGTAGAAAAAAATCGACAGCCAAATCCGAGTAGAGGAAGACCTCTATTACCACCAAAAAGTCATCCAGGTCCAAAAAAAAATTTCCAAAAAAATTCAATTTTTCTTAGGCAGACGATTTTATTGCATATTCTTGCACAAAATACACCTAAAAGTGTAGAAAAAAATCGACAGCCAAATCCGAGTAGAGGAAAACCTCTATTACCACCAAAAAATCATCCAGGTCCAAAAAAAAATTTCCAAAAAAATTCAATTTTTCTTAGGCAGACGATTTTATTGCATATTCTTGCACAAAATACACCTAAAAGTGTAGAAAAAAATCGACAGCCAAATCCGAGTAGAGGAAGACCTCTATTACCACCAAAAAGTCATCCAGGTCCAAAAAAAAATTTCCAAAAAAATTCAATTTTTCTTAGGCAGACGATTTTATTGCATATTCTTGCACAAAATACACCTAAAAGTGTAGGAAAAAATCGACAGCCAAATCCGAGTAGAGGAAGACCTCTATTACCACCAAAAAGTCATCCAGGTCCAAAAAAAAATTTCCAAAAAAATTCAATTTTTCTTAGGCAGACGATTTTATTGCATATTCTTGCACAAAATACACCTAAAAGTGTAGAAAAAAATCGACAGCCAAATCCGAGTAGAGGAAGACCTCTATTACCACCAAAAAGTCATCCAGGTCCAAAAAAAAATTTCCAAAAAAATTCAATTTTTCTTAGGCAGACGATTTTATTGCATATTCTTGCACAAAATACACCTAAAAGTGTAGAAAAAAATCGACAGCCAAATCCGAGTAGAGGAAAACCTCTATTACCACCAAAAAATCATCCAGGTCCAAAAAAAAATTTCCAAAAAAATTCAATTTTTCTTAGGCAGACGATTTTATTGCATATTCTTGCACAAAATACACCTAAAAGTGTGGAAAAAAATCGACAGCCAAATCCGAGTAGAGGAAGACCTCTATTACCACCAAAAAGTCATCCAGGTCCAAAAAAAAATTTCCAAAAAAATTCAATTTTTCTTAGGCAGACGATTTTATTGCATATTCTTGCACAAAATACACCTAAAAGTGTAGGAAAAAATCGACAGCCAAATCCGAGTAGAGGAAGACCTCTATTACCACCAAAAAGTCATCCAGGTCCAAAAAAAAATTTCCAAAAAAATTCAATTTTTCTTAGGCAGACGATTTTATTGCATATTCTTGCACAAAATACACCTAAAAGTGTAGAAAAAAATCGACAGCCAAATCCGAGTAGAGGAAGACCTCTATTACCACCAAAAAGTCATCCAGGTCCAAAAAAAAATTTCCAAAAAAATTTAATTTTTCTTAGGCAGACGATTTCATTGCATATTCTTGCACAAAATACACCTAAAAGTGTAGAAAAAAATCGACAGCCAAATCCGAGTAGAGGAAGACCTCTATTACCACCAAAAAGTCATCCAGGTCCAAAAAAAAATTTCCAAAAAAATTCAATTTTTCTTAGGCAGACGATTTTATTGCATATTCTTGCACAAAATACACCTAAAAGTGTAGAAAAAAATCGACAGCCAAATCCGAGTAGAGGAAGACCTCTATTACCACCAAAAAGTCATCCAGGTCCAAAAAAAAATTTCCAAAAAAATTCAATTTTTCTTAGGCAGACAATTTTATTGCATATTCTTGCACAAAATACACCTTAAAGTGTAGAAAAAAATCGACAGCCAAATCCGAGTAGAGGAAGACCTCTATTACCACCAAAAAGTCATCCAGGTCCAAAAAAAAATTTACAAAAAAATTCAATTTTTCTTAGGCAGACGATTTTATTGCATATTCTTGCACAAAATACACCTAAAAGTGTAGAAAAAAATCGACAGCCAAATCCGAGTAGAGGAAAACCTCTATTACCACCAAAAAGTCATCCAGGTCCAAAAAAAAATTTCCAAAAAAATTCAATTTTTCTTAGGCAGACGATTTTATTGCATATTCTTGCACAAAATACACCTAAAAGTGTAGAAAAAAATCGACAGCCAAATCCGAGTAGAGGAAGACCTCTATTACCACCAAAAAGTCATCCAGGTCCAAAAAAAAATTTCCAAAAAAATTCAATTTTTCTTAGGCAGACGATTTTATTGCATATTCTTGCACAAAATACACCTAAAAGTGTAGAAAAAAATCGACAGCCAAATCCGAGTAGAGGAAGACCTCTATTACCACCAAAAAGTCATCCAGGTCCAAAAAAAAATTTCCAAAAAAATTCAATTTTTCTTAGGCAGACGATTTTATTGCATATTCTTGCACAAAATACACCTAAAAGTGTAGGAAAAAATCGACAGCCAAATCCGAGTAGAGGAAGACCTCTATTACCACCAAAAAGTCATCCAGGTCCAAAAAAAAATTTCCAAAAAAATTCAATTTTTCTTAGGCAGACGATTTTATTGCATATTCTTGCACAAAATACACCTAAAAGTGTAGAAAAAAATCGACAGCCAAATCCGAGTAGAGGAAGACCTCTATTACCACCAAAAAGTCATCCAGGTCCAAAAAAAAATTTCCAAAAAAATTCAATTTTTCTTAGGCAGACGATTTTATTGCATATTCTTGCACAAAAACACCTAAAAGTGTAGAAAAAATCGACAGCCAAATCCGAGTAGAGGAAGACCTCTATTACCACCAAAAAGTCATCCAGGTCCAAAAAAAAATTTCCAAAAAAATTCAATTTTTCGTAGGCAGACGATTTTATTGCATATTCTTGCACAAAATACACCTAAAAGTGTAGGAAAAAATCGACAGCCAAATCCGAGTAGAGGAAGACCTCTATTACCACCAAAAAGTCATCCAGGTCCAAAAAAAAATTTCCAAAAAAATTCAATTTTTCTTAGGCAGACGATTTTATTGCATATTCTTGCACAAAATACACCTAAAAGTGTAGAAAAAAATCGACAGCCAAATCCGAGTAGAGGAAGACCTCTATTACCACCAAAAAGTCATCCAGGTCCAAAAAAAAATTTCCAAAAAAATTCAATTTTTCTTAGGCAGACGATTTTATTGCATATTCTTGCACAAAATACACCTAAAAGTGTAGAAAAAAATCGACAGCCAAATCCAAGTAGAGGAAGGCACCTTTTGCCACCCTTAAGCCAATCCATAAAATAAAAAAAATTGCTAAAAAAATTCAGTTTTTCTTAGGCTGACGATTTTATTGCAAATTTTTGCATAAAATACTCCAAAAAGTGATTATGATCTGATGATCTGAAGTAGATCTGACGATGATATGATAATCTAATGATGATCTGATGATGATATGATGATGATCTGAAGTTGATCTGACGATGATATGATAATCTAATGATGATCTGATGATGATCTGATGATGATCTGATGATGATCTGATGATGATCTGATGATGATCTGATGATGATCTGATGATGACCTGATGATGAGCTGATGATGATCAGATCACCTTCAGATCTTCAGATCAGCATCAGATCATCAGATCATCATCAGATTTCCTTCAGATCTTCAGATCATCATCAGATTATCATCAAATCATCATCAGATCATCTTCAGATCATCTTCAAATCACCTTCAGATCATCATCAGATCATGATCAAATTATCTTCAGATCATCAGATCTTCAGATCAACTTTAGATCTGATGATCATCAGATCATCTTCAGATCATCATCAGATCATCATCAGATCATCATCAGATCATCATCAGATCATCATCAGATCATCATCAGATCATCATCAGATCATCATCAGATCATCATCAGATCATCATCAGATCATCATCAGATCATCATCAGATCATCATCAGATCATCATCAGATCATCATCAGATCATCATCAGATCATCATCAGATCATCATAAGATCATTAAAACCCCAAATAGTTTATTCCATATATGGCCTTGTCAAAGGGCCTTTTTAGTTTTCCTGGTTTATAAAAAATTGAAACTAATTAAGTTTTTAAACTTAACATTTCGCAAAAATGTTATTTTACATTAGTCTAATGATTTCGATTTTAAATAATAATTTATTTCTTATTACTAAATTTTCTTATGGGTTCCTTTTAAATTTCCTAAGTATGAAACTCCCCATTGTTACCACGGTATTGTCACATTTTTCAGAATGATGGCACAAAAAAAAATTTTATGTAAAGTTTGAGAAGTATTAATTAAAAGAAGATAATAACTATTAAAAGTAGTAAATTTGACTACATTGGATAGTAAAATTAACTTTATAGTGACAAAAATGTCCTCAAATATCATGCAAGCCATCTTAGCGTGCGTGTGTGGTTAGATGGTTAAGTTGCCGGCTTGCGAATGTTAGGTTCGTGCGTTCAATCCTCAGCGTTTAGTGATTTTTCTCTGTTAGGTATATAAAAATTTAATTATTATAAGGAAAATGTAAACGAAAGTAGTAGGGGAGAGAATGAAAAAATGGATCTCAATACTAATATTAATAATAATAATTTTACTACTTTGAATAGTTTTTCTTACTAATTTTTACAGTTAATCTGACAATTTTTATATAGTTGTTTCTACTACTGTTTGTTATAGGCGCCTCCTGGAAGTAGGAGAAATGTAGTCAATGGCAATTAGATGCATGAATTAAATGTAGTGAAATTTACCAAGAATTTTTTTGAGTTTATATAATATAAAAAATAGGGTATTCGTATGGATAACTTTTAAGACCCTTACTAGTTTTCCTTACATGGGGCATTGGTGAGAAAAATCATTACACCCTTGTGAGGCTCTGATCCGTTTTCCCGACAAGGCCCTTATTAGAGATCGGGAAAACTGGTAAGTACCTCATGAGACCCACATCACGATTTCTTCACGGTTATGCTTAAATATAGGTAATTTTTTTGGCAGAAGGAATTTATGAAATATACGTCTCTGAAATTCACCGAGAGGAGAAATTTATTCGAAGCAAGGTACTCGAGTTTTATGGTCTCAAAAATTTCCGAAGAATGCACCCTACGCGGGAACTTACTATATATTGCGATTAATAGGAATTTATAAGTTTCTTTTTTTATTACTAAAAAATGATAAAATTGGTGTAAAACTATTCTTTTTAAAATTAAATAACCATATTTGTTTCTACAGCAACTAAACTATATAACAATATTAAATTTTATATCTAAACGTCAAATTTGCAGGTGGTCTTGAATAAAAGTTACATAATAATATTGTAAAATTGAATTTTCAATTTTCCATTCATCATTTACTTACATAAATTATTGTTTAAAAGTCTACTTACAATGTACTATGATTCTGAGTAATAGATTTAAAACTTAATTGTACATACTTACATAAAAATAATATTCAATAATTGTTTTTCTGAAGGAATTATTCTAAGAATTGTGACTATGACATATATATTTATCCATTAAGCTTTATGCGGTATCAATATTTAAAATGTTCGAAAAATTATTTTGTAAAACACGCATTATAATGTTATAAACTGAAAATCATGAGTAAATATTTTTTAATAGTGGTCAGAAATAATTTTATTTAAAAAATTTGAAGCAAAATTAAAATCTAAAATTTTTATTTCCATTATGTATATATATATATATATATATATATATATTCAAAAAGCAATTGAATTTGTAAGGAAAAATTATTTTTATAATTTTTATACTAGAATTTTTAATGATGATTAATTGTGATTCTTCGGTTCTTCCTCTGACAGTTTCAAGGTAATTATTATTTCTTGAAATAATTATTTTAAAAGACCTTTGTTGGTATATAAAAAGACTTCAATTTACTTTTGCTAATAGTTGTCGGCAACAATTTCACATTTAATAATGAAGTTCTTTTATGTTTTGCTTGTCATATTCGCTGCACTTGTCAGCTGTAGTTTAGTGCAGGGTATAATTTTTTTTTTTTTTAGTAATATACCAAAAAAAAAATAAACCACACTTTTTAATATTTTTAAATTTTGTTATTGATTATTGTCAATAAAATAATATATCAATTGTTTTTATACAGGCTATGGTGGTTATGGTGGTGGATATGGTGGAGGATATGGTGGAGGTTACGGTGGAGGATATGGTGGAGGATACGGTGGAGGATATGGTGGAGGATATGGTGGAGGATACGGTGGAGGATATGGTAGATATGGTGGAGGATATGGTAGACATGGTGGAGGTTATGGAGGATATGGTGGAGGAGGACGTGGAGGATATCGTGGTGGATTCATTGGAATTATTGGTTTCGGAAAAGGTTCGTATTTCTAGCTTCTCAATTAAAAACTTATACTTTAATTAAAAAACTTTTTTCTCTTTAAATTTTTTTACTGTTAATTATTAGATTTGCAAAAAAAAAAAAAAAATAATAAAATTACATATGATGCTTTCGACTCAAATTTTTTTAGGAAGCCGTTTACGAGATATGAATTTTTCAAAATAATAATGATTTTATATTTTTGAATGCTCAATAAAACTTTTGTGAAAATAAATATGAATTACTAAATCGTATATAGTAAAATTTTACTAAAAATTTGTGAAAATTTACAAAATTTTAATTACTGTATACGATTTTTCACTAATTTATACTTAGAAAGATATTAACCCTTAACTTGCACCATGGGTCCAGTATACCCGAGTATTTTTTCAAGCTCAAATTAATTGAATTTGTAGTTTTTTAATATTTTTTATATTTTAATATAATAGTTTGACATATTCTTAGTAATTTTTTTAAGTTTTTTGATACAACTAATTCGATACAAAAGAATAAATTAGCTTTAATCATTAATAATTAAAATTTTTTAATTTTAACCTAAAAAGTCACATTTGAATAAATGTACACATTCATATTTTTTTTGCAAAAAAAATAGTCCTGCTGTTGTGATAAATTTTTTCTTAAAGAATAATACATCATAACCTTACATTTTTAAATCATAATATTAAAATTTAAATAACTCATATATGAATTTTCAAGTAAAAACACGCAATTTTTCTTTTTTATTTTTCACAATTTTTTTTAACTACCTTAAAATAAATTAATCCCTGTAAAACTAATTATATTTTAAATACACATTATAAGCTAAATCAGATTAAATTTTTATGCAAAAATATTCAATACCGGCTGTACAATACACGTTTGAATACGTCGGGTCCAGCAGACCCGTTGTGTCATTTACGTTCGAACACGGAGTTGTGCCAGTTGAGGGTTAAATATTTAAAATATTACATTTTTTAATAACAAAATAAAGATTATAAATATATTGCACATTAACTATTACAATTAATTAATAATAACTAATTTTTTATTTCAGGTGGATATTATTAAAAATCATGAAATAAAAAATAAGGATATTTTCGCTAAACAGAATATCATCAAAACAAAGTATAATATTCACTACTATAAAAATACTCTTAAACTTTTACTAATAAGTTATTAATAGTAATATAGTATGTGTATTTTTATTATATTCAAATTATACAATAAATATTTTAACTTGAACAGTTTTTTTATGCAATAATTAATCCTTTGAGACAATTTATGCTACACAAGTTTCTGCACACAATCATACTCGGCAAACATGTTGTAACATGTATAATAGCAATTTTCTAGCAAACTTGCTTCAAAGCTATATGGGTAAGACGACTCCGTCAGAAAATAAGCGATTTGTGAGTGGTCTTCCGATTTTTTAGAAACTAGGGGAAATAATAGTCTTATAGGTAAGATATATTTTTAACCCCAAAATTATTTTGAAAAAAATTTTTAAATCAGTGCAGTATTTTATTAAAAAGTATATTTCCGAAACGTTGAGATCAAAATTCAAAATTTTGACCCAAAAAAATTTTTTAAATTTATAAAATTATTTTTTAATGGATTTGGTCCGTTTTTACTCCCTTTGAAGTCTAGTAGAAAAAGCGTTTGTGGGCCCAAAACGGTCCAAAATAAAAGTTTCCAAAAAAATATCATATCATCGTATTAAAAGTTTTTGGGGTCGCTGAATCCAAATTTGAGGTCAGATTTAAAACATTCAAAATGCCGGACCCAATATGGCAAAAAAATTTAAAATTGATTTAGCAAAACCGAAAACCCCCGAGTACCGAATTTGGAACAAATCAAATCAATTTAAAAATTTTCCACCATATTGGGTCGCCATATTAAGTCCGACATTTTGAATTTTTTAAATCTGACCTCAAATTTGGACCCGAAAAACCATAAAGTAACCATTTTTATGCAAAAAAAAAATTATTTATTAATCAGAAAGTAGAGTTTTTACAATTAATTAACGATACAAATAATTATTTCAAAAAATATTTTAAAAGACTGACTAATTATGTAATTGTAAAATTTAAGTCAGAAATGTTTATTTATTTACAAAAATCTATAAATATTACGATTGTTGGAAAAATATTTTGAATGTTTATAATAAAAATACTTATTACGAAGACTATATTTTAAGTGACTGACTAACTATGCAATTATAGAATATAAGTCAGAAAATGTTTATTTGTATTTACTAAAATGTAGAAATCTTAAGATTGTTCCTAAAAATCCTAATGCAATAGTAAATTATATATATGTCAATAATTATTTTATTTCTTACGCGTAACATCATTTGCTTCAACTGAAACAACTAAAAAAAATCTGAGCGGCACAACCGACCTCGGCGTCGGCACAACTCTCCTCAGCGCGGAGTTCAACGTGCCGTGTTGCCTCGCTGTACAAAATCAGTTTTTACAAAAAAAAAAACTGTTCAAAATTATCAAAAAGTAATAATGGATTTAAACACTACATTAAATTAAAAAAAAAATAGATAGACTATAGATTAAAACAAAAAGTTCTTATTTTACTAGCATTTTATTTAGTTTTCTCAAAATCGACACTTTCAGCCCCGGTCTCCCCTACTTATTTATTGTTATTTTTTTAATTTTCCGACATTGATGACATAATTACACGCAAATAAATGTATTGCATAAATTACTACTTTATTTAAACCAAAAATAATTATCATAAATTATTTTCTAATTTTAGAGAAAATAATTAATTTCTGAAATCTCTCATGTATAAGCCAGTTGAAATTTGACGGCACGGTGGTAATTGGTCTTCTTTCTGTGAAATTACCATCTGGGGTGACGTCCCGTTAGACATCTCTGTATATATGGACGATCTCTTACGTAGTTTTAGAAATTCTAATGAATTTAAATTTGTTTTAAATATTTAATATCTTCTATACCGACGTAAGATTTTCTAAAAATATTTATCTTCATGTGATAAAAGACTGTAAAAATCATAATTATCGACATACGATCATAAATTAATAAAGTTTCATTGTTATTCAAAGTTATTAAAATTAAAAAAAAATTGATGAATGTTAATTATAAATTTTCTCTCTATGTTTGAAAATGAAATTCATAAATACGCAAAACAAAATATTTATTTCTACCATTGATGTAATTTTAGAATTCCTTGACATATGCATATAATTTTTATATTAAATCCATGTTAAAATAGATAACGCATTTTCTTATCACAAACATTTTTAATTCAACAACTTTAATAAGCAGAAATACTTTTTAATTCATAATTAAATAATAAAGTTGAAATAAAGAAAAAATGCATTTGAATATTAAAAAATTATCTTTTTAGAAAAAGTGTCAAACTTAATTTAATTGTTCATTGTTTAGGAAATTTGTTTTTGTTGTTGTTGTTGTTCTTCTTCTTAGACTTATCAAACTCCTATTTCAAAATGACTAATAATATATTCCTGAATTACGTGCTGGAAATTTTAATTGGCAATATAATAGTAGGAGGATACTTGAATAAATTAAATAAAAGCTATTAATGCAAGATGCACTGTAATTGTTCATGTATCTTATTGTTAGGATCAGAAGGTGCCAGACAGCTAAAACCTCTTTGAAGCCTCATCGACACAAACGTCCGCCTCAACGATCTTATCAGGGCATTCGTCGTCGGAAAAGTCGTAATTGTTAGAAATATTGGTGTAAAGGTCACATTCTGAAAATTACACCACCTTGATGAATCATTTTCCAGATTAACTTGAATGACGTAATTTTCTTTTGATTTAACCCCACTGATTTTAATCTTGTTTTTTTAATATGAAAATAACAATAATTACAATAATAATCAGTCATACAAAATATTAGCGCTTTTCATATGATAATAATGAATAAATGAAATTAAAATTTTCAAAAAATTATAATCATTTGAAAAATCTTTATTAAAATTATTTGTATATATAATTAATCTACTATTATTGTTATTATTAATTATTATCTAATTATATTTCATTACTAATCATATAGTTATATAATAATAAACCCAATAAATAATAAAATTAATAATAAAAAAGTAATAAAATAATTTCATTTTAAACATTGATTCCTATAGATTAAAAAAATTAATAATGTTAATTAATAATGTTACAGCAGTGTCATATGAAGAAATAAATTTTATAAACCTGCAATCATGATTATTTTTTTCAATGACTTCTGCATTGTATATAATTTATTACAAAATTCATTTCTGATTGAACCCGCGGACAGTAAATCTTTCAAAGTTGCGTACTCACACTAATAGTAATTACAAGAAAACTAACAAACTGTTAGTAATAGCTGAAGTCATTGGTCTAGAGTAAGATTTTTTTAAATAAATTTATTCCAGTTTTCCAGAATCATCATTAAAGATCCTTTACCTGACGATGAAACAATCGCTATCTTCTTCCCGGATTTCATCAGTGGGGGAATTACGATATAAGCATTAAGTTTAGAAACGATTACGCATTAGTGAAGAAATTTTAATCAAATAAGATCCTTTATAAAATAACAAGACACATTGAAAAGTTAAATAATAAAATGGGCCGAATTATCAGGCCTTGTCTAACGTTCATTCTATTAGCTTTAATTTTTTCGACTTACGCCCGTCCAGGTATTGGATTTTTTAAAAATTTTAATTCATTATTTATGTGTTTTTCAGAAATTATTATTACTAACGGTAATGTTTTTTTCAGTTTGTAACTTTGTATTGAATAATAACAAGCAGTTGCAAATTATGCAGTTATCTTAATTATCATTTTCTTACAATTTGAAATTATTATTTAAAGTCACTACATAAAAACATTCATTTTTATTATTAAAAATAAATAACTGAAAATTTAATAAGCACAAAAATTTTTTTAATAAAAAATAATAGAAATATTTTTTCTTTAGCCAATTCACCGGATTCAAATGAAAGTCAGAGTCCAATAAAATTAAATTCTGATAACGTAAAACATAATGTAAAAACAAGCCCAAGAAAATCAGGATTATCAGGAAAACAAAAAGAACAGGAAAAAAATTCGTCTCCATTTGAAGGTTGTCTTGTGTGGGCTGACGGAAAAGCACCACATTTCAAAGATGTGCCTCGAGTTTCGGGAAAACCGTTTAAGGATAATAACAGTGGTGATAAAAAAAGTGATAACAGTGATAATCATAATAAACCTAGTGATAACAGTGATGATAATGAACACAATGACAGTGATAATGGTGAATATCCTGAAAATACGGATGGTGACGATGGAGAATATCATCCAGATCCCAACTTTGATGATGGAGAATATCATCCAGATAATAATTTTGATAAGGGAGAATATAATCCAGATTCTAAATTCGATGATGGAGAATATCATCCAGATTCAAATTTTGATGATGGAGAATATCATCCAGATCCTAATTTCAATACAGGAGAATATGACGAAAATCCAAAACAAAAGAACAATAGAAATAATGATAGAAAACCTAAATCAAAACCAAACAAACAAGATAATAATGATGAAGATACTGACAAACCAGAAGATCAGTCAGATGAAAATAATGACGACAATGATGATCCACTGAATCCGGAAATTTCTAAGCCTAAAGAAAAGAAACCCAAAGCTCAAAAACCAGCAGATGATAAAAAAGATCAGTCTGATGATGAAGATACTGACAAACCAGAGGATGAGCCGGAAGAGAAGAATGACGACAAAGATAGTCCACAGAAACCAGAAAACTCTAAGCCCAAGGAGAAGAAGCCCAAACCTCAAAAGCCAACAGATGATAAAAAGGATCAGCCTGATGATCAGGATACTGACAAACCAGAGGATGAGCCGGAAGAGAAGAATGACGACAAAGAAAGTCCACATAAACCAGAAAACTCTAAACCCAAGGAGAAGAAGCCTAAGCCTCAAAAACCAACAGATGATAAAAAAGATCAGCCTGATGATGAAGATACTGAGAAAGCGGAGGTTGAGCCGGAAGAGATGAATGACGACAAAGAGAGTCCACAGAAACCAGAAAACCCTAAGCCTAAAGAAATGAAACCTAAACCTCAAAAACCAACAGATGATAAAATGGATCAGCCTGATGATGAAGATACTGACAAACCGGAGGATAAGCCGGAAAAGGAGAATGATGACAAAGAGAGTCCACAGAAACCAGAAAACTCTAAGCCCAAGGAGAAGAAGCCCAAACCTCAAAAGCCAACAGATGATAAAAAGGATCAGCCTGATGATCAGGATACTGACAAACCAGAGGATGAGCCGGAAGAGAAGAATGACGACAAAGAAAGTCCACATAAACCAGAAAACTCTAAACCCAAGGAGAAGAAGCCTAAGCCTCAAAAACCAACAGATGATAAAAAAGATCAGCCTGATGATGAAGATACTGACAAAGCGGAGGATGAGCCGGAAGAGATGAATGACGACAAAGAGAGTCCACAGAAACCAGAAAACCCTAAGCCTAAAGAAATGAAACCTAAACCTCAAAAACCAACAGATGATAAAAAGGATCAGCCTGATGATGAAGATACTGACAAACCGGAGGATAAGCCAGAAGAGAAGAATAATGACAAAGAGAGTCCACAGAAACCAGAAAACACTAAGCCTAAAGAAATGAAACCGAAGCCTCAAAAACCAACAGATGATAAAAAGGATCTGCCTGATGATGAAGATACTGACAAACCGGAGGATAAGCCGGAAGAGAAGCATGATGACAAAGAGAGTCCACAGAAACCAGAAAACACTAAGCCTAAAGAAATGAAACCTAAACCTCAAAAGCCAACAGATGATAAAAAGGATCGGCCTGATGATGATGATACTGACAAACCGGAGGATGAGCCGGAAGAGAAGAATGATGACAAAGATAGTCCACAGAAACCAGAAAACTCTAAGCCCAAGGAGAAGAAGCCGAAACCTCAAAAGCCAACAGATGATAAAAAGGATCAGCCTGATGATGAAGATACTGACAAACCGGAAGACAAGCCGGAAAAGGAGAATGATGACAAAGAGAGTCCACAGAAACCAGAAAACACTAAGCCTAAAGAAATGAAACCTAAACCTCAAAAACCAACAGATGATAACAAGGATCAGCCTGATGAAGAAGATACTGACAAATCGGAGGATGAGCCGGAAGAGAAGAATGATGACAAAGAGAGTCCACAGAAACCAGAAAACACTAAGCCTAAAGAAATGAAACCTAAACCTCAAAAACCAACAGATGATAAAAATGATCAGCCTGATGAAGAAGATACTGACAAACCGGAGGATGAGCCGGAAGAGAAGAATGATGACAAAGATAGTCCACAGAAACCAGAAAACTCTGAGCCCAAGGAGAAGAAGCCCAAACCTCAAAAACCAACAGATGATAAAAAGGATCAGCCTGATGATGAAGATACTGACAAACCGGAAGACAAGCCGGAAGAAAAGAATGATGAAAAAGAAAGTCCACAGAAACCAGAAAAGCCTAAGCCTAAAGAAATGAAACCTAAACCTCAAAAACCAACAGATGACAAAGAGGATCAGCCTGATAATGAAGATACTGACAAAGCGGAGGATGAGCCGGAAGAGATGAATGACGACAAAGAGAGTCCACAGAAACCAGAAAACCCTAAGCCTAAAGAAATGAAACCTAAACCTCAAAAACCAACAGATGATAAAAAGGATCAGCCTGATGATGAAGATACTGACAAACCGGAGGATAAGCCAGAAGAGAAGAATAATGACAAAGAGAGTCCACAGAAACCAGAAAACACTGAGCCTAAAGAAATGAAACCGAAGCCTCAAAAACCAACAGATGATAAAAAGGATCTGCCTGATGATGAAGATACTGACAAACCGGAGGATAAGCCGGAAGAGAAGAATGATGACAAAGATAGTCCACAGAAACCAGAAAACTCTAAGCCCAAGGAGAAGAAGCCCAAACCTCAAAAGCCAACAGATGATAAAAAGGATCAGCCTGATGATGAAGATACTGACAAACCGGAAGACAAGCCGGAAAAGGAGAATGATGACAAAGAGAGTCCACAGAAACCAGAAAACACTAAGCCTAAAGAAATGAAACCTAAACCTCAAAAACCAACAGATGATAACAAGGATCAGCCTGATGAAGAAGATACTGACAAATCGGAGGATGAGCCGGAAGAGAAGAATGATGACAAAGAGAGTCCACAGAAACCAGAAAACACTAAGCCTAAAGAAATGAAACCTAAACCTCAAAAACCAACAGATGATAAAAATGATCAGCCTGATGAAGAAGATACTGACAAACCGGAGGATGAGCCGGAAGAGAAGAATGATGACAAAGATAGTCCACAGAAACCAGAAAACTCTGAGCCCAAGGAGAAGAAGCCCAAACCTCAAAAGCCAACAGATGATAAAAAGGATCAGCCTGATGATGAAGATACTGACAAACCGGAAGACAAGCCGGAAAAGGAGAATGATGACAAAGAGAGTTCACAGAAACCAAAAAACTCTAAGCCTAAAGGAATGAAACCTAAACCTCAAAAACCGACAGATGATAAAAAGGATCATCCTGATGATGAAGATACTGACAAACCGGAGGATAAGCCGGAAGAAAAGAATGATGAAAAAGAAAGTCCACAGAAACCAGAAAAGCCTAAGCCTAAAGAAATGAAACCTAAACCTCAAAAACCAACAGATGACAAAGAGGATCAGCCTGATAATGAAGATACTGACAAACCGGAGGATGAGCCGGAAGAGAAGTATAACGACAATGATAGTCCACAGAAACCAGAAAACTCTAAGCCCCAGGAGAAGAAGCCCAAACCTCAAAAGCCAACAGATGATAAAAAGGATCAGCCTGATGATGAAGATACTGACAAACCGGAGGATGAGCCGGAAGAGAAGAATGATGACAAAGATAGTCCACAGAAACCAGAAAACACTAAGCCTAAAGAAATGAAACCTAAACCTCAAAAACCAACAGATGATAAAAAAGATCAGCCTGATGATAAAGATACTAACAAACCGGAAGACAAGCCGGAAAAAAAGAATGATGACAAAGAGAGTCCACAGAAACCAGAAAACACTAAGCCTACAGAAATGAAACCTAAACCTCAAAAACCAACAGATGACAAAGAGGATCAGCCTGATGATAAAGATACTGACAAACCAGAGGATGAGCCGGAAGAGAAGAATGACGACAAAGATAGTCCACAGAAACCAGAAAACTCTAAGCCCAAGGAGAAGAAACCTAAACCTCAAAAGCCAACAGATGATAAAAAGGATCAGCCTGATGATGATGATACTGACAAACCGGAGGATGAGCCGGAAGAGAAGAATGATGACAAAGATAGTCCACAGAAACCAGAAAACTCTAAGCCCAAGGAGAAGAAGCCCAAACCTCAAAAGCCAACAGATGATAAAAAGGATCAGCCTGATGATGAAGGTACTGACAAACCGGAAGACAAGCCGGAAAAGGAGAATGATGACAAAGGTAGTCCACAGAAACCAGAAAACTCTAAGCCCAAGGAGAAGAAGCCCAAGCCTCAAAAACCAACAGATGACAAAGAGGATCAGCCTGATGATGAAGATACTGACAAACCGGAGGATGAGCCGGAAGATAAGAATGACGACAAAGATAGTCCACAAAAACCAGAAAACTCTAAACCCAAGGAGAAGAAGCCCAAACCTCAAAAGCCAACAGATGATAAAAAGGATCAGCCTGATGATGAAGATACTGACAAACCGGAGGATGAGCCGGAAGAGAAGAATGACGACAAAGATAGTCCACAGAAACCAGAAAACTCTGAGCCTAAAGAAATGAAACCTAAACCTCAAAAACCAACAGATGATAAAGAGGATCAGCCTGATGATGAAGATACTGACAAACCAGAGGATGAGCTGGAAGAGAAGAATGACGACAAAGATAGTCCACAGAAACCAGAAAACTCTAAGCCCAAGGAGAAGAAGCCTAAGCCTCAAAAACCAACAGATGACAAAAAGGATCAGCCTGATGATAAAGATACTGACAAACCGGAGGATAAGCCGGAAGAGAAGAATGACGACAAAGATAGTCCACAGAAACCAGAAAACTCAAAGCCAAAGGAGAAGAAGCCCAAACCTCAAAAGCCAACAGATGATAAAAAGGATCAGCCTGATGATGAAGATACTGACAAACCAGAGGATGAGCCGGAAGAGAAGAATGATGACAAAGGTAGTCCACAGAAACCAGAAAACTCTAAGCCCAAGGAGAAGAAGCCCAAGCCTCAAAAACCAACAGATGACAAAGAGGATCAGCCTGATGATGAAGATACTGACAAACCGGAGGATGAGCCGGAAGATAAGAATGACGACAAAGATAGTCCACAAAAACCAGAAAACTCTAAGCCTAAAGAAAAGAAACCTAAACCTCAAAAGCCAACAGATGAAAAAGAGGATCAGCCTGACAATGAGGATACTGACAAACCAGAGGATAAGGCGGAAAATAATAATGACGACAAATATGATTCGCAGCTTCCGGATAATTCTCAACTAGACGAAAGTAATAGAAAACCTAAAATGGAAGATAAGAAGGAGAATTTACCACAGGAGACTGATGAATTAAATCCGGAAGGTATGAGTGAAAAGCCTGATATGTTAAATGATCCTCTGAATGAAAAGGAGAAACCCGATATCGTATTTCCGGATGATAGGCAGGTACAAACTCCTTCTACTTATGATGATGACACGAACAATCCAGAATCATTTCCTTCAAAAAATGGGGCACCTTTTGATACTCGGAATAATATTCCCAAAGATGATAAAGATTTAAATGAAGAAGATGATAACTGTTCAGAGGATCCTTCTCAATCTGAAAACAGTGTTCCGTCAGATTTTGATTTTCAGAATCCAAATCTTCAACCAAATAATAATCAACAACCTCAACCTTACCCTTTTAATCCTAATAATCCTTTTCTTAATTCTGCTTTTGGAGGGAAACCACCAAATCAAGGTACAGTAAACTATCTTTCATTGTTATTTTGTTACTGGTTAATTTACCTTTCTTTAAAAAAATTAATTTTACGTTATTTATATGTAACATTTTAGAAAACCGAAACAATTTTGAGCCTGAAGTTTTTCATGGAGTTGGAGGATATAGAGGAGATGTCGAAAAAAATGGAGGAGAAAAGCCACCAAGATATCCAGATACACCATCAAATAGTCTTAATTCTGAAGGTACATGGTTATTTTTTGATAAATTTAAAGTCGTCGACTATAAACATGCAATACAAAAGTATTTGATTTTAATATTTTTTTAGGAGATCCTAAAAAGTCAAATGCTCCTTCTCCATCTGAAAATCCATATATGAATGGTCCACCTCCTGGAAATCCATTTCTTTCTGGATTATTTGGAAAAGGAAATAACAATTCGCCACCACCATCAGCACCTGAAAATAAAGGCAATTTTGATAATAATCCATCCGGAAAAACTCTTCCCAATATACCATTCTATCCTGGAAGTAATAGAAAAGTTGGAGAAGGAAATCCTTTCTTTTCCACATTTTTTAATAGAGGAAATGATGGGAATTCTCAAAATCGAATGGCTCGAAATGGTTTTTCTTCGTCAGAAGATAATAAAACTCCTAAAAATAATTTTGATCAACAAAGAAATGAGCCACTCAATAACTTTCCAACAATTGCAACATTTGGACCATTTAATATTGGAAGACCAACATCACCTCCAAATTTTGATCAATTAATACAAGGTAAAACAATAATATATAATAAATATTTTAATTTTGATCATTAGAGTGATAAAAAATTTTCTCCATTTAAAAAAAGTTTATCATACAAAAATTTTTATTCCTTTTATCAATGTAAAATGAATGTATACAATTAACTATATTATTGCACAACTATAAAATGAGAGTTCGGGAAAAATTATGTTTCCTTAAAGATAATTTTTTAATCGTGTTTATTTAAATTAAAATAAACATAATAAACTACATTTCTCCAAAGTTTCAATTTCAATAAAATAGTTTTTTATTGAAAATCTCATGGGGGATTCTAGAATATTTTACTAATTTAAAAAAGTTCTCATTATTTACATTGACAATAGAATAAAAAAATGATTGATGAACAATAGCAATTTAGAAGCATTGAGAAAATATTTCTAAAACGCCCCACAAGAGAAGAGACCTTACGTCAAAAAAAAATTTTAAGTTATGTTTGTGATTTTTTTAAGTGAAAATTATCAAAAATATCACTAAACATAACTTAAAATAAAATTATTCGGTTCTGTTTCCACCCGCTTTGATTCTTATATTTTCCTCGAATTTTCTTTTCGTTCCCCGCGAACTGGTCACATCGATTATTTTAAGGTGGCATATTATTACAATATAATACATATAATATAAATTTATTTATACCCAGGATTAATAATTTAATGTTCTAGATAATCAAGCTTATGATCAAATTGTTGGAGATTTTTCGTGGCCTGTAAACACTCATATTTATCCAAATTCACCACCACAAGTTGATAGTAAGCTATTAACTTTTGAATATTAATAAATATTTATACATATAATATAAATAATACATAATATAAAAATAATAATAAAAATGTTATCTGAAAAAATAAAAAAAAATTGATTTCAGGTTCCTGGCCGGAAATTTTTCACCTTACTTTGAAGAAACGGTAATGCAACAAAAACAGTATCATTGAAACTTGGAACCATTTTCAAAAATGACATTTACCTCTATAATTTATGTAATAATTTATATAATAGATGTAATATAATAATTTATAAAACTTCGATTAGTTAATATATTTACTTTTTTGTTATTCTACATTTAAATAGATATTATATTATAAGTAAAATAATTAAATAATTTTATTCGTTATTAAAACGAACACAAAATAATTTTTTGAAAGAAATATATTTTCAATAATAAATAAATATATATATGTATATATATATATATATTTACATGTATTTAATAATAAACATACACTTTGTGAGACTTGTATTTTTATACTGAAATATTTATTTTGAATCATACAATAAAATATTAAGAAAGAAAAAATGTTATTTTATCATATATGTGACAGTCCCCGAGAGAAGGGACCTTAGCTCACCAAAACGAATTTCACAGGGCAAGCGTCTGAAGAAGAAGCAGAAACGCGGAACTCGAAGAGTGGGGCGGAACTTCTGAAAAGTCCCCCCACCACACTAACACAACGTTGTGTTTCTGTATACGTGAGCTTCGTCTACTTCGTGTATCTTCGGGTCTCAGTCAGCACGAATCGAGCGAAGCTCACGTACGCGAGACTATAGTTGTGTAAGTAAAGTAGTGGGGCTGATTTCTTGAGTGCCACAATCCGCCTCGAAATGCGCTTGACATACCCATCTTCAAAATGTTATTGTGTCAAAAGCAATTATCCTAATCAGTTTTTGACTTTTGCATGTGAAAAAGCAATTCAAAATCTATCATTTACCATATAAAACTCAATATTGACCTCTGGTGAGCTAAGGTCCCTTCTCTCGGGGACTGTCACATATACAGAAACAAAAATGTCTCTTTTAGATAGCAGACGACAAAGGGAATAAAGCCATTCATTTTTTTCCGCATGGTAGAAGATGAGCCAAAAGTTTTAAACGTTTATATGAACGAAATTTTTTTTGCAACTTCTTTAAGTAGGAATTTTATCACAAAATATTGTTTAAAATATCTAAAAAGAAGTTATTAATTTAATAATTAATTAATTCACTGTTTTATTTTACATGTTCATCATAATTTTTAATAATTTATACATTAAAAAAAAAAATTTCGTTCATATATGAACGTTCAGAACTTTCGGCTCATGGTAGAAGTCCGAAAGTGTCATATATTGTTTATTCCCATTTTTTCATAAGTGGCTGGAGAATTGAAATAATTTATTGAGATTGAAATATAATTGAATAAAAAAATTAAATAATTACTTACCTAAATGTCAATAATTTTAATTTTAAAACACTTTAACTGGTTCCTGAGTTTAGAAAGAATTGTACAGAAATATTTTAGATAAATTTTCTAATTTGTAAATATGAAGAAGAATATTACGAAACATTTTATATCAATATCATATTGTAAAATGTAAAAAAACAGAATATAACCTAAAAATTATAGACACTTCAATAAATAATAATATATTAATAAAATATGCATTCACTTCAATTCAATTCGTTTAAAATTCAATACTTAGAGATCTTTGGGGTCGCTGAATCCAAATATGAGGTCAAATTTAAAAAATCAAAATGGCGGACCTAATATGGCGACCCAATATGGCAGAAAATTTTTTAATTGATTTGATTCGTTCAAAATTCGTTACTCGGGAGTTTTTGAGATCTATGAATCCAAATTTTGAATTTTTTAAATCTGACTTCAAATTTGGATTCAGTGACCCCAAAAACCCCCTGGTAATAAATTTTGAACGAATCGAAATTTTGTAAATCTGACATCAAATTGGGATTCAGCGACTCCAAAAACCTTAGTATACCCATTGTCATTCAAATCGAATTATGTTTTTTTTCTAAGATGGACATATACTTATTGAAGCATTATTAACTCTCACACCGGGGATATATACTATTATACGTGTTTATGTTTACCTTCTTATCAATCTAGGCCTTAATTTGCTTCGGTTCTGAGAAATTAATAAGTTCAAATATGTGGTTGAATGACCGTAAACATAAATGTTTAGATGGTGATCACCCACATTACGTAAGTTAACACAAAAGAAAGAATGGCTATTGTCTAAATTTAAAGGGACATTGTATTTTCAAATTTAATTATTTGATACAATGGACACGTGCCAGCTAAGTCAACAGATATGATTGTAATAAAATAATAGAATTATTTAAATTATATCAATTTTTAAATTTATTATTTCTATAGATATATTTGAAAGAAAATATTTATTTTGTTTTTAGAAAACTTGTTGCTTGTTTACCAAATTAGAGGAATCTTTCCTATAATTATTCGGTAGATCAGCTATTTATTTTCTTATTCACTTCTACTTTTATATATGAATAAACGTCATATATCGTTTCGAAGTTGAATATTTTTACTTTACAAAAAAAATAAATATTACCTAATTATTAATAGAAAAAATAAAATATACAATCAATCATTTAATATAATTATTTATTATTTAAGTTTGAATAATTAATTGTGAGTTCGTTCTGAATGAAATTAAATGAAATAATTTTATTAATTAACTTAAATTTTTCACCTTTTATTTGACTTCTTTTTAACAAATTCGCTTTTCCTCAATCGAAACTCAAAATTATTTCGTAGGTTTATCTCTATAAAAAAATAAAATTTCAATGAAATAAAAGAAACCTGTCAATTCCTAACGACTATCAAGGTCAAGTTCTCTATTCCCTGAATTAGTTAATCTATTATAAGTAAATTAATTTTGCATGTATTTTCCTTAGACTCAGATTTATTTGATATGTTATTTATTTTACAACACACCAAAATGATCAAAGTCAAATGGAAAATAAATGAATACCCGGATCAAATATGTCGACCGACGCTCGGACGAACGCTCTATTACCAGTCAAGTAGCAGTGACAGCCTGTGGGCGGCTCACTGCTACCCGACTACCATTAGAGCGTGCGTCCGAGCGTCGGTCGACATATTTGATCCGGGTATTCAAATGAAAAAGTCATTTACCTCTCTGAAAACTTGCTAAATAAATAATTTAAGTAAATTATTTATTTCCTAAATTAACTAATTGGTTGGAGGGCAGGGATTCATAATCAATTGAATCTTACACATTAACAAATTGATCGCCTATTGCAATGAATTTGAGATATATGTATGTATCTTCAAGAGACTTACGATTTGCTTTTGTTACCACTTAAGGATCCAGATAATGAGGTGGTACTCCGAGTTATCAGAAACCCCTCAAGTCCTTCACCATGGCATGACTTTGTAGATTGTATGGTTTGTGTTAAAGTGATTATTCACTTTTCGTTTCTTCTACTTGCCTAATCTTGACTTTAAATTTATAATTTGTTGAAAATATTTATTTCTTATATAATTCTGAGTTGGAACGGTTGTTAACCCAGCCTCTCAGATAATATATAAGATTTTAAAAAAAAATAAATAAAAAATATAAATAATAAAAAAAATGATATTTTAAATAATAAAGAGATTCTATATTGAGCACTTGTTCTTAATTTTCTTTGAACTTACTTTTATAATGTAAAATCCAATCACAAAATTTTAATCACTCTACACAAAAAAAACTATCTGTCAAAAAATTCAGTATGTGAATGATATATATTTGCTCGCTTGAATAAATTTCAGAGAATGTCCAAAATTGGGTCTGCTTCTCTATTTATTGACTCGAGAATTCGCTTCATCCCCCAAATTTCTCTCTATCTTCTATCTCTCTTTATTATTTCTGAAATTCTATTTCTCTAGATTTAAGTTTATTTCTTAATATTTCTTTTCTTTGATTTTTATAAATAATTTATAACTTTTCTTTAAATAATTAATTATTTTTTTATAATAATTTTACAATAAGATGTAATGTGGAAAAATGGTATCTTCCATCTTAAAAAAAGATATTTTGTAAAGTATCTTATTAATATTTAAGATGCTTTTTGCATTTTAACAAGAATTAAAATATTTCTTCCATCTTAAAATGTAAGTTACTTCGGTAAGTTTCTATACGAGGGGGAATTTACTAGTTAAAAACGTGTACACTTGACTACCGGTATTACACCTCATATTACCCTTATTACTAAGTATTACACGTTATCACAGAGTATTACATATATTATTACAGAGATATTACAGAGTTTTTTGCGTTATTGCAGCACTGTAATAATGCATTATTACACGGTATTACACGTTATTACACAAGTATTACAGGAAGTGTGTACACTTGACTACCTGAGTCAATTCCCCCTCGTTTCTATAAGTAACTTGAAATAAGATATTTGTGGGGTCATAAGATGTTTAGAAAAAAGATGCTTGTAAATTCTAAGATACGTCAGAATTTGAAGTTACTAAAATATAAAATACATTAAGCATCTTACATAAGAGGCCATAGTTAACCTTAAAATTTTTTTTTATCAAAAATATGTGAAGCACTTTGGCAAAGATATTATTAACATTTTAAACTAAGATATTTTAAATAACTTAAAAGTTACTACCAAAACATCTTATATTAAGATACTTCTTTTTACAGTGTAACATTCAAATTTAAGATACGTTCTATGTTTTTAATAGTTTTTTTTATAGTTTAAATAATATTTAAATTTTATATCTTTGATTTTCCATTTATCGTTTACTTACATAAATTATTGTTAAAAAGTGTAAATACAAAGTTTTTGAATTCTGTGTAATAGATTGAAAGCTTATAATTATAATATACCTGCATAAAAATAATATTTAATAATTGCTTTTCTGAATGAATTATTCTAGGAATTGTGACTAACATACATTTGCGATTCCATTGAGCAAAATTTATGCAGAATCAACATTTAAAATGTGTGAAAATATAGTTTTTGAAAAAATATGCTTTAGAAACTGAAAATGATAATTAATATTCTTCATAAAACATATATATATATATATATATATATATATATATATATATATATATATATATATATTAATTGTAAATACTTATTTTTCATTTCATCAAATGCAAAAAAGGAAAAATAAACAATAAAATTTCTAAGGAAAAATTGTTTTTTCTTTAATTTTATACTGGAATTTTTTATGATGATTAATTGTGATTCTTAGGTTCTTCCCCTGACAGTTTAAAGGTATGTAATTATTATTTCCTACGATAATTATTTTAAGAGATCTTTGCTAGGCATATATAAAAAGATCTCGATTTACTTTAGCTAACAGTTGTCGGCAATAATTTCACATTAAATCATGAAGTTCTTATATGTCTTGTTTGTCGTATTTGCTGCTCTTGTCAGCTGTAGTCTAGTACAAGGTATAACTTTTTTTATTAATACCAAAAAAAAACATAAACCACAAATTTTAATATTTTTAAATTTTGTTATTGATTATTACCAAAATAATATATTAATTGTTTTTTTTACAGGCTATGGTGGTTATGGAGGATACGGTGGATATGGTGGAGGACGTGGGGGATATGGTGGAGGACGTGGTGGTTACGGAGGATATGGTGGGTACGGTGGATACGGTGGAGGACGTGGTGGATACGGAGGATATGGTGGAGGACGTGGTGGATACGGTGGATATGGTAGAGGACGAGGTGGATACGGTGGATATGGAGGATGTACGTATTTCTAGTTTCCCAATTAAAATTTTATATGTATTTATATTGTTGCTTAATAAATTAGATATCCAACTCAAAATTAGGTAGTTCATGTTGTGTGGGGGGGGGAATTCAAGATGGCCGTAAGGCAGTGTATAAACATTAGGAATCTCGCTTAAATAAAATTTTGGAATCTAAGTATATTAGGATTTTAGTTTCTATTTTTAATGGCCTATTTAATACAATAATAAAATTAATGTAAGAAATAAAATCGTTTTTTATTATTGTATTAAATAATAAAATTAATAAAAAAAATAAAATCATTATTTATTAATATATTAAATAGACCATCAAAAATAGAAACTAAAATCCTAATATACCTACTTAGGTTCCAAAATTTCATTTAAGCGACCCAAAAATAAAATCAAAGTGAAAAAATTTTTATAAACAAAATATTTAAACAAAAAGATTCATCAGGTTCACTTTAGAACTTTTTGTAAACTAGTATTAATCAAAAAGAAAATCTATTTGAGCCAGTACTGGCTCAATATCAGCTCAGTACTTGTTTTCCAGTATTGGGAGGGTGGTACTGCAACAGTATTGATACAATAAAAATACCAGTACTGGTTCAGTACAGACTGATTATTTTTTACTCTAATTTTTTTGTTTCGTTTCGAATTTCGTACATATTTCCAACTCCCTAAATTTGAATTACTAAAAAAATTTCTACTAATTCTTAGTCATTTTTACCAAATTTTAATTTTACTTAAAAATTAATGAAAATTGTTAATTTGAATTATTAATTTTATTTAATAATAAATATATTTTATTTCAGATGGATATATTTAAACATATCACCAAATATACGAGATGAAGATATTTTTGCTGAAAAAAATATCAGTATATATGGCAGAAATTATAATGTTGACTGTGTCATAAAAACTTTGTAAAAATTAAATAATAATTTATTAATATAATATGTGTAGTTTTTATAATATTGTATATACCTAATAAACTTTTATTTGGTTATAATTCATGAAATTAATTGTGGTCTAGCACACGGTAGAAAATATTTTAATAATCAGACAAGTTTTTGGAAAAAAAAAACATATATTTCCACGACATACTTTTTTTAGTAAGTTTTCAGTAGAGGAAACTCAAAATACAATCAGATTGGCCAACAAATCGATGTTTTTTAAAATTTAAGGGTATGTGGGCAAAGGACGTTTTTTTGTGGTTTAAAACTTTCTTTGAAATAAAAAATGATTTCGGGTTAAAATTTTGGAGAAATGATTTTGTTTGGTACAAGGAATTTCGCTGTTCTACTCATTTACCACAACTTAACGCAAAAATAATAAAACTAAAGTAATAAACAGTAAAATAATGTATTATATCATAGTTTATTCAGCGGCCACTTGCTCGAATTGGCTCTGTTTACTGGAGCACTGAAAACTCAAGCAACGTCTGTGTGTGCGCCGCCATCTTTGTTTTCATTTTCGTTTAAAAATGCCACTTTTTAAACATCATTTTTTAATAATTTTACTCAAAATTATGTATTTTTCGGAGAACAGCGAGATTCCTTGTACCCTAATCTATCATCCCTCAAAATTTTAGACAAAAATCTTTTCTCATTTTAGAGTGAAACACATTTTCCCATACTAAGTCACGTGGGAGGTTCCAACATAACCTAAAGATAATATTAAATTTAAATTTCATTAGTAAAGTTTTTATTTCACAAGATATTTTTTTAACGTGAGTCAGACGCCAAAGAAAAATTTAAAAAATTGTTCTGCTTTCTACTTTTGCCTCAAATAAATCTTCTCCAGTTTAAATGGAGTAAATACTTGGATACTGCGAAACTAAACTGTCAAATATCATTATATCCCAATCAAAAATTTACTAATGGCGCAGTACTTGCACCCAGTATTGGCGCCAGAGTTGGCGTAACTTTGGGATGATAACATTTTACCAGTATTGACTACCAGAGTTGGCACCAGTATTGGTAACCACTACTGGCTCAGTACTGGCCGAGTACTGGCACTTTTGTAATTTATTGTATACGAAAAGAAAGCTTTAACTGCAACAGAGATAAGTTTCACTCCAGGTAATACTTTTTTGGTATACTTAGGAAAAAGTGTCTGAAATTTCTAGTAACCCAACACAAATATTTAATTTGTGTTGGGTTACTAAAAATTACTAAAGTTTAATATTATCTTATTATCTTATTATCTAAAAATTAGTCATCTAACTAATTAATATTTTATTATATAAAATCGAAAACACAAAGAATATTTTCATTCCGTCTTATAATATATATTGCAAATTAATATTTTAAAAAATCAAAAAATAAATATAAAAATATGTTTATTATAAAACCAAAGTTTTTATAATATATAAAAACAGTTAAGTAAAAATAGAAATGTTTATTAAAATAATTATAATGTATATAATTATGCAATTGACTATTTAATTATTTTATTATTCACTTTAATTTATCAATTATTATATCAAATATAAATAAATTAACATTGAATTCAATTCAATTTACATAAAACAAAATTAGTTTACAAATTAACTCATCACAAATATAATGATTTAATAAATAATGAATACTAAATTCCTGAAATTAGGTAATTATAAAAAAAATTATCTAAATTATTTTTAAATTTAACATGAAATTTTTGTTTATAATTCACTTTTTGGGAAAAAAAACTAAAGAATAACATCCAGAAACAAATTACAGTAATTTTATTGACCATTGAAATATATAAGTTTGTAGGTTTAACTATTTTTTATAATTTCTATTAAGAAAGATTAATTATATCCCGTGTGGAAAAAGCCACGATCTTGCCCTCAAGAGTTCGGGGCCCCCGGCGGGGGCCCATGAGGGCTGATCCATATGGCGAATCCATGAGGGGCACCGTAAGGGCCCCGCATGGATCGCCCTCATGATCGATTAGCAAAATTTTCTAAGTCCAAAAATCAAATATTTTTTTATCACCAAAAAATTAATGTTTATAATGATTCAGAACAACAAAAAACGCGTTTTTAATAAAAATATATTTACACTTTTTTGAAAATAACACTCACACTTATGGCAAAATAGATGAGGGCCATCGTAGGGGCCCGCATGGATCGCCCTCATGATCGATTAGCAAAATTTTCTAAGTCCAAAAATCAAATATTTTTTTATCAACAAAAAATGAATGTTTCCAATGATTCAAAACAACGAAAAACGCGTTTTTAATAAAAATATATTTACACTTTTTTGAAAATTCACCTGAGATGATTCATGATAATAATCATAAAGCATATAATTAATTATATTTTATAAATTGCATTTGATTGGAAAATATAATTTAATATCTTAACTTTAACTAAATGATGTTAAGCACTTTTCTTTGTTAGGTATTTTTGAAGTTTAAATAGCATCAAAAAGTTAGCATTCGTTTTGAAGTAGCGTGCGTAGCGTAGTTGTTAAAGCGTTAGACTCGTAGTCCGTAGGTCGTAGGTTCGATTCCCCCCATGCGTTAGATTTATTTATTTCTCAGGTTTGCGTTTAATCATTAATTCTATGTATGAATTAATTGAAAAATGAAAATATCCGTTAATAGTATGCATAAATTACATATTTTTTAATTAATTAATTTATTATTACTTTTAATTATATCCGACAGTTAATTAATTAGAACGTTAATTAATAAATTCAATTTGAGTAAGAATTTAATTTAAAATTGAATAATTATTAAATAAATATGTTATTTATTCCTAACTTAAGCTTATTTATTATTAATTAACTTTTATTATTAATATTATTGATTAAAAAACATTATGGCAAACTTGATTCATCGGGTTCACTCTAGAACTTTTTGTAAACTAGTATTAATCAAAAAGAAAATCTATTTGAGCCAATACTGGCTCAATATCGGCTCAGTACTGGTTTGCCAGTACTGGTAGGGTGGTACTGCACCAGTACGGATACAATGAAAATATCAGTACTGGTTCAGTACAGACTGCCCAGCCTCGGCAGCCAATACTGAATCAGTACTGCGGCAGTTGTCAACTCTGGTATAATATTGAAATTAAAGGAAAATAAAGATTAACTATTATTTTTTTGCATTTGAAAATTTTTTTAAATCGTTTTTTGCCCATAACTTTAAAAAAATGTTAAGACACCTATAAATGATTTTCATTAATTTTGTTGAGTTTTTCAAGACACATCTATTGAGCTATTAGCGAATATCCTACTGTTATTTTATCCAGATTTATTAACATTTTCAAATTGAAAAATTTTGAAAAACCTGCCTTTTTTTATTATTTATTTAAAAAAATCTTTATATGTGACGATTCATGGTTAAAGGGTGCTTAGTTGCTGAAAATTTTAGGTTATTTTCATGGTAGTTTTTGCTTTATTAAAGATTTATTTTTGATTATTTAACATCAAAAGCATTTTTTGAGGAAAATATTGCATCTAATAAAATAATTAAATAATAATAGTTTGTACCAAAGGTAGGGGGACACTTTTCCCAATCCGTGTTTCCCAACGCCTTTTTTCCCAATGTCCATTTTTCCCAATGAAAATATTTCCCAATGGTCATTTTTCCCAAAATTTATTTCCCAATGGACATTTTTCCCAATGAAATTTTTTTTCAAATTTTTTGTCCCAATGGACAATTGCAATCGTTTCCAAGATATGCCCGACTAACTTCATTGTTATTAATAATAAAAAAGTCATTTGTTATTTATAACCATTGGCATAACTTTAAATCAAAATTTCAAGTAAAAAAATCAAGTTCATTATGGCTCAAGAAAATTTAGAAGTAATTCCTACAAATAAAAGTGTCAGACTCAGTATTTCTGGATTTTTATATTATAAGCATTCAACAAATTATAAACTCAGTCGTATTTATTGGAATTGTAAAAAGAAGGATGAATGCCACGCACGAGCAACAACGTCTATCGATTTGGAAAATATTACACTTTTCAAGGGGCCTAAACAGTCTCCACACAACCATGCTCCAAACCGAGACGCTGTCAATGCTGAGCGAATTGAAAGTAGAGTCAAGAGAGTTGCAGAAGATCATGCGGAGTTACTTCCAGCGCAAATTATGCGTAGAGAGCTGAAAAATGTCCCATCAGGTAGATTTTCAGTAATAGCATTAATGATTAAACAAAAACCAGTTATTTAAATTATGCAATTAATAAATATTAATAAATATTAATATAAATTAATAAATATTAAAGACTAAAATTTCAATTTTAAGTGAAAAAATTCACTTTAACTATGTTTATATATAGAAATCCTGGCACAGTTACCTGACCGGCCAAATCTTAGGAAACAAATTTCTCGTGCTCGCTTACGACAAATGCCCAGTAACCCTATTCGTATCGCTGATTTAGAAGAAATTCCAGAACAATTTAGTCAAACTCTCGGTGGAAATAACTTTCTTTTATACGATTCTTATCACGACGATAAAGACGATGAGGATTGTGGGAGAATTATAATTTTTTCTTCTTCAGAGAATTTGACACAACTGTTCATGTGTGATGTTTGGTTTGTGGATGGAACTTTTAAAACTGCTCCTTCTCTATTTTTCCAGTTATTTTCAATACTCGGTGCTGTTACTCAAATTGGTGTTAATCGAAAACCACAGACTGTTGGATTACCTTTCGTCCATGCTCTTTTGGAAAATAAACGGCAATGTTCGTATTTGAAAGTTTTCAATATAGTTATAAGAGAAGGCAGAAAACTTATACTCCAAAATTTGAAAATGCCAACATATGTAATGACTGATCGTTTGTTGTCCTAACCAAAATTTGGTTTCGACAACCAAATAATTTGATTCGCTCTAAGCTTACAGCTTAAGAGGACAGTTAGTTTAAATCTCTCACAAGGATGGGTAGTCCAGTGTGGTCAGAGCTCCCGACCTTCAGTTTTAGAACAGAGGTTTCAATTTCCAGAATTTTTGTTATGCCAACAAAATACACTCAACCAAATTTTTTGGTTGACTCAATCAAATAGATTGCTTGCTTAAATACCAACAAAACTTTCTTGTTGGCCCAACAAAATTTTGGTTGCTCTGACTAAACATTTTTTTTTAGTGTATTTAAAAACGAATATCAATTGATCTAGTATTAAACTTTTAATTATAAAATATTAAAAAGTTATTGACGTTAAAACTCTATATCTCAGTAACCGCCCAAAAAATATAACTTAACACCATTTTAAAATTATTATAATACTAAATAAGTTACCATATATATTGATCACAAAAAATCTCAATGAGGAAGCAAAGTGTTCATGAAATGAAAAAAAAAATGTTTATACTTAAACTTGGCAGCGGTTTTTTTTATGCAATTAATACTTAATCTTTGCATAATAGAGTATTCCTAGAAACAATGTATAAAATTTTGTTTCACTCATTAAAAAAAAAAAATATTATTTTTTTTTTTTGAATTATGAGACAATTGATCAATTATTTTAATAATCCTATGAGAGATGTATAAAAGGAAACTTCATCATGTACTTATTTACAGTTGTTACTTGTATTGCCTTATTAAAAACATGAAAGAAATATTTTTGTACGCTTTTCTATTAATATTTTTGATTTTTGTCAACTTCAATGAAGCACAATATGGTAAGAAATTACTTAAATATTTTTTATAGAGTCATTCCATTATATTTCGACTAAAGTTGTTGCCGACTAATTTTAAAGAATTATAATTCTATGGAGGATTGATTTTAATGGAATCAAGATCAGGAATTTATGTCAATAAAATAATGTATCAATTGACTTTATATAGACTATGGTGGTTATGCAGGATATGGTGGAGGACGTGGGGGATATGGTGGAGGACCAGGAGGATACGGTGGATTTGGTGGAGGACCAGGTGGAAACGGTGGATATGGTGGAGGACCTGGTGGGAGTGGTGGATATGGAGGATTTGGTGGAGGACCAGGAGGATACGGTGGATATGGTGGAGGACCTGGTGGGAATGGTGGATATGGAGGAAGTACGTATTTCTAGTTTCTCAATTAAAAATTTATATTCATATATAAATTCAAGCGAAAAATATTTTTTTCTTTCATTCATTCATTCATTCATTATAATTCATTCATTCATTCATTTCATTCATTATAATGAATTCAAGTATGAAAAGTTTTTAAAAAAAACATGAACTCATTTTTGTTGCAATTCATTTTGAGTTGGATATCGAATTGATTAAGCGACAAACTTTAAGTTACTCAAAATAATCCTGACCGGAATTTTAGATTTCTAGATTGGCATCATTTGCGCACAGTGATTTTGAATTACTATTATTTTTTTCTAATATTTCAACAATATCAGAAATATTTTCTTTATCAGTACAAATATTTAGTAATTTTTAAGTAAAAACTAATTAATTATTATTTATTTGAATAATAATTAATTTCATAAGTTTTGAAATTTATTACCGCTAATTATGTATTTAAGTTGGCAGTATACCGTTCCTGCTTTAAAAACAGATGTTATTAATTTTTTAATCTAAAAACATATATTTCATTTAATTACGTTATTACAAATAGTTTTCAATCGAATATAATAAGTCTCTGCGTAATTTAAATCTTAAAAATAGTAGGGAAGAGTCAGGGCGCACTCACACCTTTTGGCTGCCTGCCTGCCTGCAGGAGTTGTCATGGCAACGTGTAGGAGTAACAGAGAGAGAAAATTCAAATTTGAATTTACTATCTCTGTTACTCCTTCACGTTGCCATGACAACTCCTGCAGGCAGGCAGGCAGCCAAAAGGTGTGAGTGCGCCCTCAGCATGGTTGGGCCAGATTTTGACTTGTGCCCATAACTTCCGTTTTAGTGTAAATTTTAAATTCTCTCGTATATATGGTTGGAAAAATACACTAAAGTGGAATGTTTCTTCTGAACATCAGAAAATGATTGGGTCAAAAGTGTAAAAGTTACAGGCATTTAAAAAAAAAATTTTTTTGTCGTGTAGGTTGGGCCACTGTATAGTAAATCAATATGAAATGAAAGAAATTGTCCAAAAAGGACCCGCAAATGGCAGAAAAATACTTAAATTGAGCTGAAAATGCGATAAAATAAAATCTGAAATTAAAATAAAATTAGCCGCCTGAACCAAAATCCGATTATTCGCGAAATTGGTCTAAAAAGTTAAAAAATAGTACCAAAATTTATTAAAACCAATTTTTTTTTAATGGAAATAGCATCTTTGACTCTTTTTTTCTATAAAAAATTGATGTTTCGATGTTTGGACGTATGATAATATTTCAAAATTGGTGGGTGGCCCAACCATGAAGAACGGCGTTGTAAACAAAAACATGTTAAACAAACGTAATAACAATAACAATAACGCTAAATAATGCTTAAAACTTTTAAATTTTGGATTGTCATTTTAGCACTTATTTTGGTTCTCTTGAAAAATTAAATGTTTATTGTAATTGCATTTTACTGTAACTGACGTAAAGAGTTAGTTGCCATCACTAGCAAGTATTTGCATAATAAAATAGAGGGCGCCAGTGTGCTAGAGCCATAAACACAGGTGTAGCCCAACCGTAAAGGTAGCCCAACCATGCTAACTCCCCTCTAATAGTTTTATTGAATTTTTAAAATTTTCAAAACAAGGAAAAAATTTTATTTTAAAATCAATCAAGCACTACAGTGAAAGTAATACATATATCGAGAAACTTTCCTTTCATAAATAAAATAATCTGTAAATATTATATTATTTCATTGTTTTTGAGTGTTTCGTTTCGAATTTCGTATACATTATTAATTCCAACTCCCTTTTGAATTAGTAAAAAAAATATCTATTACTTTTTAGTCATTTTCACTAAAACTTAGGAAAAGAAATTTTAATTTTATTACTTAATAATTAGTAAAAATTCTTAATTTGAATTATATTAATTTTATTTAATAATAAATATGCGTTATTTCAGTTGGATACAATTAAACACATCACCAAATATACGAGATGAGGATATTTTTGCTGAAAAAAATATCAGTATATATGGCAGAAATTATAATGTTGACTATGTGTCATAAAAACTCTGTAAAAAAATAAATAATAATTTATTAATATAATATGTGTATTTTTTAATTATATATACCTATAATAAACTTTTATTAATATTTTTTATGCAATTAATAATCATTGCATAATATGGTATTCCTAGAAAAAAATGTATAAACTTTTGTTTCTTTCATTCAAAAAAAAAAAAATTTATTTTGTTTTGAGAATTATAATGAAACAATTGGTCAATTAGTTTAATTATCGTATGAGAGATGTATAAAAGGATACTTCAACGTGTACTTATTTACAGTTGTTACTCGTATTGACATATTAAAAACATGAAAGAAATATTTTTTTACGCTTTCCTATTAATATTTTTGATTTTTGTCAACTTCAATGAAGCGCAATATGGTAAGAAATTACTTAAATTTTTTTTTATATTAAATATAAAAATTTAATAAAAAATAATGGTGTATAAAAATATTTTTTAACTAATTTTTTCCTTTGCTTAGTTTATAAAGAAAAATATATTCGTTTATTATATTTATACGACCAAAATTTCTTTAACAAATATATGAAAACATATGAAAACTTTGGTTAAATTTATTTTTAGGAAGAGGAAGGGGTGGTTACAATAGAGGAGGATATTATGAAGGGAATTATGGTTATAATAATAATTACAATGATTATGGTCGATACAATGGACGTAATGATGCTGATGTCTTTATAAGAAGTCCCATTGGAAATGGTCAGTTTTTTAAAAATATTTATTTTATTTCTTACATTTTTTTCCGATTTTTTATAAAAAAAAATATGATTTTTAATTTAAACAATAAAAATGTTATTCACTAGTTTTTTTTTCAAATACACCATGAATTGTTGATTAATAAATATTTTTTACATCACAAAAAAGAGGTTTCGAGAAATCATTTTAGGGGGCTGCATATGGATTTGCCATATAAAAATCAATACTTAGAATTTTCATTTTAAATTAGTTTTTTTATGGGAAATTCATAAATATTTGAAATTAAAAAAAAAAATTAGTATTTGTTAATTTTATAAAAAAATAATTGTATTTTTATATTAAATTTAAAAATTTCTGTTTTTACAGGTGAATTTAATTTATTTAGAAGATGATGACTATAAAAGTGATTTTTCTGTAATAATATGAAATTACATTATGTATTAATTTTATCAATAAATTTTTAATATCTGTCTATCTAAGAAAATTTTAATTAAAAATATTTTATTATTATATTCCCGTTATCTAAAGTATATTATATTTTTTGTACAGAATATTTACAGAAAGAAATTCTGTAAATTAAACTGAAAAATAAATGGAATTGAAAAAAAAATTAAAATGAATTCCATATAAACAGAATCACTTTTCATTTATGTCGATATAATGCAGAATAGCAGAGTTTCAGAAGTAATTAATTAGGATTAAAAAAATTCTAAAAATGTTTTTTCTTCAACGGAATTTATAATTTACAAATATTTTTGAAATTAAAAGTTTATACGAAATATATTCGCCTAATGAAATACGAGTTGAATTTGAAATAAAAATGAATTAAATTTTTCATAATTCTTTCTATTTTTTTAGGGTATTTAAAAAATTGAGTGAATTTCATAAATTATATTTTATTATTAATAAATTCATAATTTTATCGAATATTAGTTCTTAATTTTTTTCAGTTCAAGCCTTTTTACCGAGATGTAAATTATAATTTCTATGATTCTTCTAATATCGATTCAAGGTTGCACTTCTATTTTTTTTGGTAATTCCCAAGCCTTCAGAGTTTGAAGTGTTAAACAAACGGGTTTCCAATTCGTCAAGGATAAGGTTATATTATTACAGTAGAACAAATAAAGAAAGCTACCTTGTTATCAGTATTTTGAAATTTTTTTATAAAAAAAATAGAGGAGAGTTTAAAAATAGAAAAAAAACTCAATCAGTTTAATTAACTTAATTAAGATAATTAGTTTAAGTATACTTTAATTAAATTATTTAATTTATTAAACAATCCAAGTAACTAAATAAATTATCATTTAATTTACTAATCTAATGCCCAACTACATGTTCTACTACTACGGCTTTCGAAATACCATGTCCAACTTCTGCTGCAAATGAACAATTTCATCATTTTATTTAATTAAAACATCTATTCTGATTAATTTTGTCTATAATTAGTATCCTTAAAAAGATAAATAAAACGAAAATACAAACATTTTATCAATTATATTGAATTATCTTAATACAAAATACCGATCGTTCAGGTATTGGTGCTTTTATGTTAAACAATGTGAAAATTTTAAGGACTTGACGTCAATCGCAGCATTGGGAGTAAAATTTTTGAAGTTAAAAGTCAGCTACAAAAAAATATTAACACCCTAACCATCAACTTTAAAAGTCGATGAGATTTTTATAGAATTTTGTTAGGAATTAAAATTTAACTTTCTTTTTTTAAATTGTAAAAAAAAATTTAAATTTAAACACCGTAATATATATGTTTTTTATAAGATTCAATGACAAATAATAATATAGGGGAACAAAGTAAAATGATAAAACGTTTTAGAGGGGGAGTGACGTCAAGTATTTGAAAAACCCCAAAAAAAAATTAATTTAAGAGAATTATCTATTTAATTTGATTTAAGTTCATTCCAAGAACATGTTCTCTATATAATGATAGTTCTAAGAATAAAATTGATAGTTACGACACTGTTTTCAAGCGAGGTATAGTTTATACAGATTAGTCAGAAAAATCTATTCAGATATTCACGTTGAGAAATTCCCACAAAGTCTATGAAGCACATATAATATTTCGTTTTAGTTATAAAGGTGGAGGACCTTATTTCTGTATCAGTTAAAAGTCAACTGCAAGATCAAGTATAAAAATTTTTTTTAGAAACTTTTTTTTTGCAAATATTTTTTAAAAATATTTTCTAAATATTCTTTTTATTTTTTTATAGTTGTTATAGAATTTAAATTTTAATATTCTAAACATTAATGTTAAAACAAGAAAAACTAAATTTTGAAAAAAAAATATTAACAATCCATTGTTTTCTTAGTAAATCTTTATTATAATCAAGATTTTAAATCAATCATAGTGACGTATGATAAATTGTTTTTAAAATAAGAGAAAACCAGTTTTGTTTGTTGTGTATATAGTAAAAAGAGGAAAAGACTATACTGTTATTTTATTAATGTACAAAATGGAGAAACTTATTCTGGGTTTATTTTTAATTATAAGTTATGGTAAGTCTTTCAATTTTATTAGAAAATTTTATTAACTTTTTTTATCTTTTCACTTATTGTTAATACTTATTTTTAAATTGTTGATAATAATGTTTTAGATTATATTGTATAAACATATGTTGTAACAGTAAAAGAAAAAGATTATCAAGTAATATTTGCTTTTTTTAATTTATATTTGATTTTTGTTTTTTTGGTAGTTGCAGCCAATGGCAGTGATTTTATCTTTCCTGATGATGTGTCATCACGATTTGAAGGACAAACTAAAAATCATAATCGGTAAATAAATAATAATCATATCAATGTTATTTTGTGTTTAATATATAATTAGTACAAAATATTAAGTTTTTAAATAACTAAAAAATATTTTATTTATCGAAGTTTTTTTTTAATATAACACAGCCCTACAGAAAAAGGTTGGAAATTCGAGGATAGTACGAATTTCTTTTAAACTTTAATAGATTTAAAATAATATTTAGAATCTAAGGTATATATTTAAATCTGAAGTCGAATTTTTAGAATTGAAAATGGCTAATCCAATTTGTCGGGCAAATTTTTTCCCCATATTGGATCCATCATTTTCAGTTTTTAAAATCTTACTTCAGTTTTGTAATTAGCGACCCTAAAAACCCCTAGGTACCAATTTTGAATATTTGACTTAAGACCAGGTCCAAGTGAGGCAGCGCCATCTACATTGAAACTAAAATTTTGGAAAATTTTCAACAGCCTTTTCTTGAAAACAAGATGGTAAAATGCTTTTTCCTTTATGGATAATTGATTATTGGCAAGATATACACCAGCTAAAACTTTAAAATAATAAAAAAAAATTTCAAGTCAATAAATTAAATATGAGCACTTTCTTCACAAAAACTGTAACAGTACTTTCTCAGAAATTACAATCAAAAATGCAATTTCCATTTGGAAAATTAATAAACGCTAAAAAATACACGACCTAAGATTTACCAATCACGAAAATAACAAAAAAAAAATTTTATTAAATATTTAACATATTGATACTGCTTTACTGATTGTGACAGCCCTTTGGTAGATTATGTATTTCAGGTGGTTAGCAACAGCGCCAATCTCCCCCTTTCGGCAAAACCGCGAAACGTCTGGTGACATATATAACCTGCCAAACGGCTGTCATAATGAGTAAAATATGTTATGTTAAAATACTTTTTTTTTTCTTATTTTCGTGATTGGTAAATCTTAGGTCGTGTATTTTTTAGCGTTTATTAATTTTCCAAATGGAAATTGCATTTTTGTTTGTGATTTCTGAGAAAGTACTGTTACAGTTTTTGTGAAAAAAGTGCTCATATTTAATTTATTGACATGAAATTTTTTTTATTATTTTAACTCAAAAAAAGTTTTAGCTGGTGTATATCTTGCCAATAATCAATTATCCATAAAGGAAAAAGCATTTTACCTTCTTGTTTTCAAGAAAAGGCTGTTGAAAATTTTCCAAAATTTTAGTTTCAATGTAGATGGCGCTGCCTCACTTGGACCTGGCCTTAAGATTCGTACTCAGCAATCCCAAGTTACTCTAAATAATATAAGTTTTGTGTAAATCCATTAATGTTTTAAAAAATTTGTATAAATGGTGTTATTATGATACTCTGATCTCTGAATCCCTACACTTTTTTGTTGGGTTCTGTTATATTAACGAAATTAAATAACAAAATTTTAGTCTTTTTTTTAAACTAATAAATTTAAAGTTATTTACAAATAAATTTTGTTTTTTATTTAGTCCAATAACATTCCCGTCGTACAACTCTAATGCGAATGCTGAAGCAAATGCAAATTCTCATGGATATGGACATACCAATGCCAATGCAAATGCAAATGCAAATTCCAACGGAAATGGATACGGAAGTGCTAATTCTAATGCAAATGCTAATTCTAATGGAAATGGATATGGAAACAACCATGCAAATTCAAACGCAAAATCCAATGTGAACACTAATGGAAATGGATATGGAAATGCTAATTCTAATGCGAATGCAAATTCCAATGGAAATGGATATGGAAATGCTAATTCTAATGCTAACGCAAATTCCAATGTCAACAGTTATGGAAATGGATATGGAAATGCTAATTCTAATGCAAATGCAAATTCTAATGGAAATGGAATTTCCAATGCCAATGCCAATTCACAAGCATCGTTTCAAAATAATCCATATTCGAATAATTATTCTAATGGAATAGCAAGTTCTCTTTCCAATGCTCAATCAATTAATGGCAATTCAGCAAGCGCTGCAAGTGCTGGTTCAGCTGTAGGAGTTTCTTTTGTTAATGGAATTCCATACGTAAGTGCTGCAGCCGCTGCAGCAGCTGCTTCTTCTGGCGATGGAAAATCATCATCATCATCATCATCATCATCTTCTTCTAATAGTAACAGTAATTTTGATTATGGAAGTCAACAATATCCTAATTGGTATTTTGGTAGTAGAATAGGCACTGGTGATGATAGTGCGAATAAAACTAGTACTGAAACTACTGAAACTACTTTAACTACTTTAACTACTGTAACTACTACTGAAAAAAAAGAAATGTAAATTAAGAATGTAATAAAAAGAATTTATTTTTCTAAACAAAATTTTAATATAAATATTTCCTAGTAAGAAAAAAGGTTTATTTGAGGTAGCTATCTGCTCAAAAATCTAACTGACGTATGGATAAATGGACTGGTTGCTCAATCATCTAATATATTATGCTCTAGTCTTTCTCCTCAACTAAAAAATGAAAAAAACAATTTAACTGTTTAGAAAACTTAATAAAAAGTAGATAATAATAGATTCTGCTATGGCATCCGATTTAGTAAAAATACGCAGTGTTTTTTTTCTATTATTATAAATTTTTCACTCCTGTCTATATTTTGCCAAATAAATAAAGGGACGCATGAATCTTCTACAAATCCAATTTAATCTAATGACAATTAATCGAAATTCACTAAGCCGAATCACCAGTTATGCCATAAGTTATATTAGTTAGGACTATTTTTTAAATTAATTTTCGTTTTATCGATGATTAATTTGCTCTAATTTTTATTTTTCATATATGTTATTTAACCGAAATTTCATTTCATCGAAATCTCATTCGTTATAATTAACATTGTCTCGAATTAATATATTTAACAGTATTAACTTTTTACCTAATTGGCATATAAACCTAATGATCATTTAACAGAAATTCACTTACCTCGAAATTCCATTAAGGCGTATGTTCATTTGGCCTAAAGATTATTTAAACTAAATTTTGTTTTGCCTATAAATATTGTTTCACCTAATTTTAAATTGTCCTATTAATTATTTAATATAAATCTCTTTTGCACGAATCGTCGTTATACAGAATTAGAGTAAATCAGAATTAACACATTCCCTAATTCCCATATGACAAAAATCCCATTTGGCCTAAAATTAGGCTCATCAATATTATCATTTGGCCTAATTTTAGGCCAAATGGGATTTTTGTCATATGGGAATTAGGGAATGTGTTAATTTTGATTTACTCTAATTCTGTATAACGACGATTCGTGCAAAAGAGATTTATATTAAATAATTAATAGGACAATTTAAAATTAGGTGAAACAATATTTATAGGCAAAACAAAATTTAGTTTAAATAATCTTTAGGCCAAATGAACATTCGCCTTAATGGAATTTCGAGGTAAGTGAATTTCTGTTAAATGAACATTAGGTTTATATGCCAATTAGGTAAAAAGTTAATACTGTTAAATATATTAATTCGAGACAATGTTAATTATAACGAATGAGACTTAGATGAAATGAAATTTCGGTTAAATAACATATATGAAAAATAAAAATTAGAGCAAATTAATCATCGATAAAACGAAAATTAGTTTTAAAAATAGTCCCAACTAATATAACTTATGGCATAACTGGTGATTCGGCTAAGTGAATTTCGATTAATTGTCATTAGATTAAATTGGATTTGTAGAAGATTCATGCCACCCGTTAACATGAAACATATTATTTTTTATATTTACTTTATGTTTGACTGAATTTTTTGGAAATACTGCTGTAACATGATTATTATAATGTATATAATACGTCAGCAATACCGCAATTTTGTCTTTTATAAATATTGTATGACCTTGTCGCTGTGTGTAAGTACCGTATAAGAAAGTAATATTCATAAACAATCAGATAGTTTAAATCTTTAATTGAGTGATAAGTATAAATTGTACACATATTAGGCTAAGTATATTTGTATATATACACTGTTAAAAAAATCTGTATTAGATTTAATAGACATGCGTATGAAGCGAATATGCACTACAGGTATTGAAATCTAAGATACATGTATATTAAATTTAATGTGCCAACATGGCGGCTGTAGATACCTATTTCACAAAACGGTCATTATTTCCTTGATATTGAAAATTTATTTCAAATTGAAATAACAGTGCTTAATTCTTTAATTAATATGTTGTTCGTGTCAAACAAATAATGTTTCATTAGGGAAAATTTTTTCAAAAAATCATTCTAAATACCAGAATTTTAATGGTCATATGTGACATTTAGGTTAAGCACTCTAAATGCATTATGACAATGTAAATTGATTTAAACTTGAAATTATTTTGCTTTATTAATAAAAACTTATTTTGTACACAAGAACATGTATAAATTGAGTAAAATGCAATTTTTTAATTCTGATTCCTATGGGTAATGAAATTTAATATATACTTTATATATAAATTCGCTTTAATATACGCAGTTTCTTAAATTTAAGTACTTTATGTATATTAAAACTACGAATATTTTTAACAGTGTATATATATATATATCAAAAAATGTGTGTAAAGAATAAACTTATAACTTAATATAGTAAAAGATATGTTTTTATATGACCTTGTCTATATTGAAGACGCGTATCTATTGAGAGGAGAGAGCAACTGTTGCTTATACCCCCTCCTTCCAGGAATCTTAATTTTACATCAGCTAGACAGAGATATCAATATATAACTTCGAATTCCCTTCGCACTAAACTCTCATTATCTATAGTCGGATGTTTTTAAATTGAATTTGTGGTAATAATATACCCAGTAGGCATCGGGACGAGTAAAAAATACGTATTTATTTCTTCGCCTACATCCTGCGGGACAATGATGACAATGTCTCGGAGATATTATAAAGACAATCAAAGAACGTCCAAAAAGACATCTAAAAGACGACTTTAGAATATTCTTCAGACATTTTAAATATGTTTTCTTCATTATATTTTTTAAGTTCAAACGCAGTAATTATATTATATTTTAGTATTAACATATAAATTTTTTACGCTTAAGTTTGTTTTTAGTTTTATTTAGATATTTATAAAAATATGTTCTTTAATAACATAGAAGAAACCTAGTCTCATTTTTGTTGCAACTTAAAATGAATCAATGCTAAACGACATAAAAAGTGGCGCCACGAAACCAGGCTCACTTTTGTTGCACATAAAAATGAGCCGTCTAAACGACTCATTTTGAGACCAGGTTTTTTCTGTGAATTTTGTCTAATACTTAAAGTAAATATGCCAAGTAAATATTTTACAATTTTTTTTTTTAATTTTATTGGAAATTTTGTAATTACAATATTTAACTTATGTCATAACGAAGATATTTATGTGTGTATACAAAATGATCCTCATATTTTCTTATTTATATATTGGAAAAAAACTTGGAATCGTAAAGATTTATTACTAGAACTGTCTTATATAAAATTATAAAAAAATAGTTTTGCGTTCTTTTAATTTTTATTGTCATAATTTACGGGATTTTACCCGCTTTAATACTGTATGTTCCTTTTCCATCAGGGCCAACTGCGACAGAACTGCTACTAAAAACTCCTTTACCTCCTTCCAAATTTCCACTCTTATTCACTTCTTTGACATTTCCTTCACCTTCACCGATTTTACCCGCTTTAATACTGTATGTTCCTTTTCCATCAGGGCCAACTTCGACCGAACTGCTACTGAAAACTCCTTTACCTCCTTCCAAATTTCCACTCTCATTCACATCTTTGACATCATCTTCACCTTCACCGAACCGAGAGAAGATACTGAAATATTTTATGTAATTTTTAAAAATACTAAATACAATAAAATGTGTACTAATAGTAGTTGAAAACAATATATATATATATATATATATGCATTGAATAAAAGAATAAAATTTGATAAACTCACTTAAATCCATTAGAATTAGCATTGGCTTGGGCATTGGAAGAACCGAGACCACCATATCCCTGTAAGGTAGGAATGGATGGAGGGAATCCAAATCCTCCATTGTAACCTCCTCCAAACCCACCAGCATTACTTCCGGCTGATGCGTAAGAATTTGCCCCTCCAAACCCACCAGCATTACTTCCGGCAGATGCGTAAGAATTTGCCCCTCCAAACCCACCAACATTACTTCCGGCTAATGCGTAAGAATTTGACCCTCCAAACCCACCAGCATTACTTCCGGCTGATGCGTAAGAATTTGACCCTCCAAACCCACCAGCATTACTTCCGGTTGATGCGTAACTATTTGCTCCTCCAAACCCACCAGCGTTACTTCCGGCTGATGCGTAACTATTTGCTCCTCCAGAATAAAATCCTGGTAGAAACGGATATCCTGTTTGAAAAAATAATTTTTAAAATAAAATTTTCCTTAGTAAAAAATGAACTATTTTAGAAAGTACTTTCTGGTTTCAATTAAAATAATTTGAAAATTTATAATAAAGATTATAGAGATTAATAATGGACCTAAAGCAAAATAATTATATATTATGTTTACAAAGATTGCAATGAAATAAATAAAACTAATCTCAACTTTGGATAAAAGATTCAGAATTTTGGTTAAATCGCAATTAGAATTTTAATTAATATTAATAAAAATGTTGGTTGTTTAAATAAAAATGAATAATGAAAATTTTTAAAATGCAAACTTTTCAATTAGACCACATGCAAATAGTAAAAATACTGTCTATTTACCTTGTGTGTAAACTTGTGCGACAGTAGCCAAAATGGCTAAAAGTCCAATGAAAACTTGATGCTTTGACATGTTTGACTGTGTCGATTTTAGAGTTACGTGAATCTTAAATAGTAGAAACTCCCACCGATAATCCTCGTTTCTGTAATGTCATAAAATTTCTGGGATATTCCAAAACGTTTAAAAGGGAGAAGTAGTAAACTAGAAAAATAATTCTAATTTCATAGTTGATTATGCGTATATGTCTTCATCAAATTAATATACTAACTGCTTCTTGACATCAAATTTCGAAATATACGGTTTTTCCAAAACATTTTATATGGAAATCTTATATATGGGTCTTTATATGGGACTATAAATCTTTCTATTTAGCATAAAACGAATGTATTTAACAGCACGTAAATATTTTAGCGGAACTGAGGTTTGACACAAACATGAAGTAGTATAAGGATCACTCACTGCTTGTTAAGCATATAGGCCGCCTGCATGAGAATTGAATCCGAAATTACATATCTTCGATTATGTTGCCTGTAGCGAAAAAGTGGTATAATTAGAAGTTTTCAAAATATGGCTGCGCCTAGTGACAACTGTTCTCATATAGTAAATAGTGTAAAGTGATATATAATAATTTCAGAAAAAGTGTAAAGAAAGAAAAAAGTTACACACAAGAATTTAATATTTAACGAAGATTTTATTTACTAGAATTAAAGATACAGAAATTTTTGTAATGTCCTTGTATTACACCGTCCGACAAAATTCAACTTTTTTTTTCACACATGAAAAAATCAATGATTTTCAGAAACTAGGACCAAAAAAAAAATACCCGTGTCTCGCCGTTTTGCTAGATCAGGTCATTTTTTGCTTTTAGGGGTAAAAACAACCCTTAAATGAAAGGTGATAGGAAATCTTGTACAAATTAATAATTTTTTATGAAACCTGGTATCTCGAGGTTTTCCGGGTCGCTGATTACAAATCTGATGTCAGATTTTCAAAATTCAAAATGGCGGATCCAATATGGCGGTCGAAATTTATAAAAAATCACCAGTTCATTTGAAAGTTGTTACTTAGAGGTTTTTGGGGTCGCTGATAACGAATATGATGTCAGAATTGAAAATTCAAAATGGCGGATCCAATATGGCGGTCGAAATTTATAAATATTAATTATTTTTTATAAAACTTGGTATCTGGGGGTTTTTGGGGTCGCTGAGTACGAATCTGAAGTCAGATTTTTAAAATTCAAAGTAGATCTAATAATGTGGAAGATTAGACAGTTGTTTATATGTTCGTTTTCAGTTGCATAGTTAGTACATAAAACAAATGACAATTGTAG